GGGCATATTAGAATACATTCGCTAGCCTGTGATTAATTGTGAAGTTTTTCTGGCTAACTTTTCAAATGCATTTGGCTACTAAACAAGAAAACATTTCAAAAACTGTAATGCATTTGCAGTGATATTTGAAGCCTAATTTAAATCATGTTCTGAATGATTTTAGAGTGTCTAAATATTGATTGATACGTTCTTGATTAATGAAACACAGGCGTATGATTTTACTATGACTTTTGCTTACATGTATTTCTAACTATTTTATTTCAAAGGGAGGTGGTTAAGGCTGGCTTGGGTGTTTCTTTTGCTTTTCATTAGGTATATATATTCAGGTAGAAAATGTTGAAAAGGGCTGTAAATTGCCTATCCCAGGTCTTACTTTCCCGCTTTATCTTATCAGCAGTCAGAATCGGCTGCTGAACATCGTGTTGGTCAGGTTGAAGTGCTCTGTGGGAGAAAGTCTTGCCATGAAGTTTGAGGAAGAAATAAAAAATATATTTATTTTTTGCTTTTTGAATGTCAGCATTACATATTCAGGCATATGCAAGCCTAATGGTCTGCTTGTCTGTATCATTTTCTCCTGGAATGACAGCTTAACAGTTTTCCTGGTTGGATCGTGTTAAAATCTTTAAAGGCTACATTCACTAAAACATATGTCCAATGTTTGGGCAGCCAAAATCTGTGTAGTCATTTTAACGGTGTGTAACTTCGCAATTTGCTCTTACCACGGGTATCTTATTGTCAAATCTACATTAAAATATCCTCAGTTTGGAGTCTATTATTTCATGTTTAAATTGTTGCAGGATGTGCTGAAGTATACTTTTGCCCTATCTCAAAATGGAGCTTGCTCAGAAAGCAATAAATAGCTTCAGTGGGACATATTTAATATAATGAAATTATTTTATAATAGGCTTTTATCTAATTAACTTTTCTTGAGTGTCTACCATTTTCTGAGCATTGTACTAGATATCCTGCATAGATAATGCAAAGTGATAGCCACTTGTGATGATGTCTGGATAGAAGACGGACAATGGGAGAAAGTCACAGAGTGGCCAGACGGGGCACAAGGTGTTGTCAGCGTCCCATAGGAACAGGGGTGTCTTGATGAGGGCTGTTGGCCAAGTTGCCCTGTGTTCCTTATTGAAACTTTGATAGGGCAGGGGATGGCTAACTGAAATAGGGAGAAAGGGAGAAAGTGAGACTCCACAAGAGAAATCCAGGGCCGACCAGTGCTGACTGACTTAGCAGCCACAGTCTGTTTCACTCCCAGCCTTCCAGAATTGCTTTTAAAGTTTTCTTGACAAATCTTCTGGAGCCGTGGTAGGAAACAAAGCCCTTTTGTTTCGCGGTAGAGGATACAGAAAACAGTTATTCACGGTCCTTGTCGTTAATTGGCTTAGCTTTCCCTGGTGCCATTTGTTTGCCTCTAACTGGGCTGGTGCTCCATCTGCCCGAGGCCAGGATCCTGGAGCAGGTCTTAGTGGCAAAAAGTTGAAGAAGCAGGTACTGGAAAATCCAGCCTTATGTGATCTTTCCTGGCTCTGATAGGTTCAACTTTTTATATTGAAAAGTTGTTTAAACCCTTAAAAAATTTTTTTTTCCTCAAGTGGTAAAATAGTTTTATCTCGGAAGAAAACTTGAAACAAAAATTTCTTCTAAAGAAAATGAATTTCAAAGTATTATTAGTATTTATATCTTTAGTTATTTTAAAAAGGTTAACGGCCATCCTCGCTAAAAGGCACCGTGTGAACTTTTACTAAATACCTCAAAATTCTAAATTCTGCTAGCAACATAACCAGGCAGTTGTGTATCATTTCGTCTAAATGTGTGAAAATTAAATGCCTGTTGAAGTTGACCAGAAACATGTAATTTAATCAGAGTTTCTAATTGAATCACAAAGAATAGAGTAAAACTGTCTCTAATTTTCTAGATTTGTGATGATCTCATTGTCATAATATTAACAAAGTGTTAATAATTTCTAAAGGAGTATAGAGAAGAACCAATCTTCAGAAATTCTACTAAGTTAAAATTGTGAATGATAAAAAAGCACATACCAAGTTAAATTTAATTATATCTTACAAAATTATTGAACTATATTTATAGACTCAATCATTAATGATACGTGCTAATTCTTTGATGATATGACTTGGAAAATATCACTGTCACTTCTTAATTTTAGCATTCTTCAGAATTTTGTTGTAATTTTATTTTACACATTTTAATACTTTTCAGATATCAGAGTTGACTTTAAGAAGCAAAAATGAACTTAGATGCTTTCCAAATTAAATTCAGTAATCAGTCTGAAATGCTTAGCTCCCAGCCTAGCACATAGCAATTTATGGGATAATCAGTTGATGATGATCATTATTTCTGACTCCTCTCTTCTTGCCACACTGTCTCTCACTGGTTTTTATGTCATAATAATTTCGCAATGTTATTACTTTTTCATCGTATCTACCCTTTAGTCCTTGGTGTTTTAGAAATTTCTGGAATTTCTTCTGTAACTGTCAGCTGAACTCCTGATCCAAGAACACACAGGTACACAATACATGTACAGAGGTGTTGAAGAGCATCATGTTCTCTGATGCTAGGAGCTTACTGACCATGTTGTCTAGGATCCAGCAGTTTAAGGGCCAGGAGGTGAGCTGGCCGTCATCCTGCCGCGGAGCACAGTCTGCAGAGACTGGCAGGGAAGGCTGACTCCCTGTGTTCTTAGTGTGCCTATTTGCTGCAGGAGCTTGGGACCTTAGGCTTCTCTTGTTTCGGAAGCTATTCCTAACAGTACCATTAAAACAAACAAACAAAAACCTTTTTTGGTTTTTTAAGGAGATTATGACTACAACGCAGTGTGTACTTGTTACTTTCAGCCATAATTCAAGGGCTCTGCTTTTACTTAATAATGACTTACTGGGAATACTTGCAATAATATAAAAATACTTCTTACATAGTCTTTTCCCCAACAGTTCCTTCACTGTCCGTCTTTAGGAGAAACAAGTTTTGGTAGTTTGGAATGAATTCCTCCAGACTATTCACACATGTTGGCTCTGGACGTACATCTATGTATATTGGTGTCCCCATGGCTGTCGTGGGTTGGGTTTTTTGTTTTGTTTTGTTTGTTTTTGTTTTTGTAAAAATGAGATTATGTTGTTCTGCAGTTTGCTCATTTTATCAGTTCATTTACCATAGGCATCTTTCCTTGTCCTCAGTCTTTTTTATGGCTGCATAATAATGCAACTGTATTGCTGTTCTTGGTTTATCTAGCCTTTCTTCTGCTGAAGGACACTCAGGAGGTCTCTGGATTTCATCATGTTGCATGAACTCCAGGGGTTGGAAGCTTTTGTCCTGGCTACATCTGTACTTTGTTTCCCTACTATATTCTGCAGGCTATAGGAAGCCAGGCTCTCCCCCTTTGTTGCTTATTGGACTTCAGGGATCATTCTGAAAGTTGTCATTCGATCTCGGATAGAACTCAGCTCAAATAAAAAATACCAGTTCTGTTGTGTGGAGGTTTAAGGTAACAGTAGCATTTTTATAGAAGTTTCTCATTTCTACCTCCCCGGGATTTAAGATGCATCCTCTAACTGGGATGGATTTTTAGCTACGTCATCCTTGGACACTTATACATTGGCAGACTTTTGGGTTTCAGAGTGTTAAGAAAGGTTTAGTTGTCAAATCTTTTTTTTTTAACTGGAAGTCCTTTAGGTCAGGACTTCTTTTAGAGAGTCCTTTGAGAATGCATTTGGTTGTTGTTTTTTTTCCGTGATTGTGGACTATTCTTGTCTCTGTATATTTCTAACCAGGTGCATTAAAACTTAACTTGTGATTTTTGTAAATGGCATAATTCATCACAGTTCTAAAATCCAAGTACCAGTATAGCAAGGTTCACATTTCACTGGGGGGTGGGGATGGTATTCATTAAGGTGTTCATAAAATTTTATGTTCTTAAGTCACTGTATATTCAGTAGATATAATAACTTATTTTTATCATGGCTACTGGCCATAATTGGAGTTTAACATCTGCTCCTTTTAAGATCTTAAACTCTAGTTGCTTAGAATGAAGGCAGTCTTTTAATTTATATGCATATATTTGCTTGGAAGATCTTCTATTCACAAAATATTAATGTATAATTTAAGAAAGGTGATATCAAGTTATTAGACATGTAGCAGAGACATTACCCCAGCTCTTTGGTAACATGTTAATTATTCAACATACCTGAAGCAGTAATTTGCTGTTGATTTTAATATTTTTTGCCTTCCAACACAGCTGGCATCCTGACATGATATCATAAGCTATTCTTTTTGATTTATTTTTGTACAGAGTATATCACACTGGGTGAACAACCACACTGAGCCAGTATGGAGGGTGCATCTTTTTGTTTGTGACATTTTCTATGTGAAAATGGAGTTGTGGTGGTTAACCAGTTTTTAATGCATACGAACAAAAACGGCTGTAACCCTTGTACTTTTGCAGTGCTTTCCTCCTGCTAGGTTTCCTTGAAGATCTAGAAGCTTGAACTTTTCCTGCGTTACAGCTCTAACATGCTATTCTCATGTGTTCCTTCTCCACAAAACAATATTTCCCAAGGCTGTTTGTTTATATACAAATACACCCAAAAATGAACCCCCAAAACACTTTCATTCTTAAGGTAATATGAAGAAAAAATGATTTTGAGATTAAAAATGTGAAATACAGTAATTTAGTTTGTAACACAGAAGTGTTTTATAACAGAAGTATTTTATAATGGAATGCCTTTTAATGACAGAATGACAAATCCCATTTTTCTTTTGTAGTAGGGTTATAAACTATATTGAAAAATTTTGTAACAGTACAAATATCAAATAACTATGCAGTGAGAGTTACAACTTATTTGACATAAAACTGTATTACTAACTTTTAATTATTTATTAGATTGAAATACTTTGTTTTTATTCCTTAATCAAAACTGCCATCATATACTTGAAAATATGTATTCTCTTCAACATCAGATTTTCCTTTCCTCTTTCAGTCTGTGATCAAAACAGGGCGACTGCTAATCAGTCATGAGGCTCCCTTGACAGGCGGCTTTGCATCAGAGATCAGCTCTACGGTTCAGGTAGAGTAACTTTTTGGCACTGGTTTTAACATTTGTGCAGTTGGACTTGTCTATTCCAAGGATAAAGGTTACTTATCACAATATATAAAAGTGTGCACTTTCTGGAAATGCACGTTTTCCATTCGACTCCACTGTCCTTCGGTTAATGGTCTAATTACATCTTCTAGAAAAGAAATCTTGAAGTAATCAAAGCTGAAAATTCCTTTATAGGAAGAAGAAGGTTTGAAATGAGTTTACAAAACTAATGTTAGTTATATTTGCTAGAAGAACAGGAAATGAAAACTTTTAAATCTGAATATGCTATTTCTCTTTTGATAAAAGTTAAACTTATTATGCAATATGTTGATCTTAGATTTTCACAGACTTCCCCTTAAAAAAGAAACGCATCTGTCAAAAGTTAACAATATAAATTCAATAAATAATATCAAAATCAGTAAGTGATTTTGTTAGTTTAATTAATAATCAAATTATGTTATGCTTTAGAAATGGTTCACAACTTTCTTTTAAAAAGTATTCAGTAGAAACTGCTGCAAGTTAGGGAAAAAAAAATCCCACATAATGCTTTATGAAGAATTTTTTTTTAAACTTTTGTTTGCATTTATATATCACAGATAGGAATAAGATGATTTAAATGAGTTTCATTTTCCTAATTTTTTAAATTAAAAATTCAATAACTATTTTAAATGTAAAATATGTACATTTTAAATTCAGAATATCTTTGCAGTTTGAAAACATTTTACTTCTCTTTACTGGTGTTAAGATCATTCTTTTGTTAAGAAACATGTTAAGTCGAGAACTCCTTCAAGAGTGAATAGTTTAAAAATTTGATATAAGATTGTGATATATGAATAATGATAAGTTTTTATAAGTTAAACTTTTTAACCATTAAACAATGATTTCTACCAATAAATTATCTCTTAAGTGCAGATTGACAACACTGTAAATATTTTAAAATTAGATGAAGCAGATTTAAACATAAAACTAGATCGATATAATCCAAAAATTATACTGTTATTTTATACATTATTTATATTGTCACTAACAAAATTAAGAAAAGCAAATATTTGAGTTTTACAGATTTTTAAAAAATTTATTATATAAATTAAATTCTGGATCATACTACTTATCATGTAATATGAGTGTCTGGTATTTATTGTGCATTTTATTCATTGAGTAGCATAATGGATTAACTTTGTTTAAAAAAAGGGGGGAGCGTCACAAACAAATCACTCTAACACCGAGATGCTATTTCAAGTCAGAGGCAAAACTGGAAAAAGAAACTGGAATTGTCTGACTCCTAGTTAGTATATAATGCACTAAATCATTTAAAATGATAGTGACTTGGTAAGAGAACTTTGATCTGATACCCTTATTCATTCTGCTCACTGAATGCTGTTTTGTTATCTCAAAAATTTCATTTGCATTTAAATGTAAAAAGAAAAGAAGTAAACAGAGAATTAGAAATAACTCCTCTTATGAAGTATTCTTTCTCTAAGTGTGCTTATGCTGGATCTCCATAAATTATTAGTAAGCTGCGATAGAGTGTAACATATTTTTCAGACTGGAAAAGAATTAGAAAGATCATCTAATTTAGTGTCTGTTGGTCTTGAATAGTACTTGGACATGGGTTAACAGAAAAATATCAGGCTTCAAGAATACATTTGTGAATTTCAGTTTGAGGAACAACCTATTAGAGTTAAACACAGTCATTACAAAAGACTTACACGAACAAGATCAAAATCACTGTGTTAAAATCAGATCCTGAAATTATGTGATAATGATCGGGGGTAAAAGTTGTGAACGAGATTATCCGAAATATAATTATATTTATAGCATAACATGAAGACACCTTGTAACCCTCTCTGACTCCCAAGAATCTGCCCATAGGTGTCTGCAGACGTCAGCCTGGGAAATCGTGACCTAATCTGACCTGATTCCTTTGACACATTAGTGGTGGTTGTCCAGGGTGTGTTTTTGACTCACCCAGTTTAAGAGGACAGTGGAAGATCTGGAACTAGGACAGGAGTCTTGAGGTAATGTTAAGTTTGTGCATATGCATTCTTTATTCAAAGTTCCCCTGAGCCCCAAGAGGAAGATAGAAGTTTTAAATTTATTATAAAATGTTCTGTGTTCCATGTTAAAAATCATTTAACCAGCTAACTATAAAATGAATTAAGGCAATAATGTAGAGGGATCTGCGTTTGATGTTTTGGGGGATTAGTATTTGGATTTATTAGTATGAGGATGAATTTGAAAATACTCACAGGTGTTTCTGCTTAAGTCAAGAAGAGAAAATGGATTTTAGTAAAATCAACACAGTATCCCCAGATGTTTGATACTTGTGGCTTTCATGTATTGATAAGGGGCGGGGGGAGATACCTTAAGAGACTTTTTTTTCCCTTTTTCAGTAATAATATTTGCACATACTCAGAGTGATCTGAAGAATAAATCCTGCCTTTCATTAATTAATTCATGCACATGTTCAACTAAATGCAGTGTCCTATATTGAGCATCTTTTTTATGGAAGGCCTCATTCCCTGTTAGTGCAACCTCTGTTGCATTACCAGCACCTTGGATTGTTTAAACTGAAATTACTTAAGTGTGAGGTGCAGTTGCTTTCACCACTTGGAATGATTCATATTCCTATATTTCTTCTTGTTGTATAAACTATGGTGTAAAGTCTGAAAAAAAGATAAAACAGGATTAAGATATTGAAAGCCAGTTTTCTGGGACACCAGGGAAAAGGTACACAGAGAACTTACCATTGTTTGGAAAACAAGTTTGAAATTATGGATGAGAGTGGTCTATAAATTGATTAAAATACTGAATTATTCTCACTGTTGTATCAGTGAATGTAAATTTTATGTAAAAATCAACACATACCCAGAAATCTAATCCAGAAGCACTATTTTGTGGAAGATCTCTGGTAGTTCTTCAGGGGATCATATTTAATCTTACAAAAAATAGCTCTTAATATCACAGTATTTTAAGAGAATGGTGATTCACAATAAAACTACTGTTTTTAAATACATTAGAATCTGAGAGCACTATTTTCAGTGTCCCCGAAATTTTAAATTATTACCCATATTAAACAAAATTTTGAAGATAATAAAGCACTATACAGAGTATTCTTTTAAGTTTATAGTTAATATTTTTAGATAGAAAAGTGATATCATGCTAAAAATGATTGAATATCAGCAAAACATTTTTCTCCTAGGTGTAGGAAGTATTGCTGGCATTACTATTAAGTTGTTTTTTTTTTTTTAGTTGTACAGATAAAATATGAAAAGAATGAATATGAAATGTATTCATACTTTATTTACATAACTTCTCAATTTATGTCAGATGGCTCTTCCATCATACAGGGAATTTATTGTCCACATCTTGTTTGTTCATGCCCATTATCTCTTTTCCTAAAACCATTTATTTTATTAAAAAAATACGGTTAACAGTCTTAGTTTAAAGTCATGTTAAACTCACAGGAATGATTAAACATAACATTTTAAAAAATGGATTGTCAATAACTTCTTCATGAAATTTATATGAATGCTTATAGAATCCAAAACCAATGCATCGAATCTAAGAACTGCTTTGCATTCCTATTGTACTGAATTTGGAAGTTAACTGAGAGGCAGAACAAACCGAGGTCTAGTATATTTGGCCCCCCACCCCTGGGGAAGATTTCTTGATCGGTCATCCAAAGCTTCACTGTCTCTTCTCATCTAATTTTACATTCCCATCTGTTCTCACTTTGGGGGTGAGGGAACTTTCTCCTTCTTTCATTTGACACACACTGAAAGTTGGAGATATGTTGCTTTTAGGGAGTTGTGCATTCCACTGTGCACCCTGATTTGTAGAAAAGTGCAAAGACACAAAGCTTGGGTAATTCATTGTGTAGTTTGAGCAAATATTTCATTGCTTCAGAAAATTTTATGATTTACTTATAGATGTTTATATTCCTCAGCTTTATGCAACCCAGGTTAAAAACAATCATTACTGTGCAAAAAGAAATGTGTGAACCTCATCCATTTTAATAGTCCTCTCATTAATTTATATTATATGCGCTAGAATGCAATGTTCAAAATAGGCATTATTTATTTGAATATTAAGGCCAAATAATGTATGGTATTTAGCAGCTTTAAATAGTATAATTTCTTTAAGCCTTGGAGAAACCAACCTTTATTATTAATTTCGAACACATTCCCATAATGATGAAATAAATTTTGACTCTGATAGGCTTGTGATAAAAAAAAAATTTCTGAGTTGGTTTTTTTTTTTTTTTTCCTTCTGGAGTCAATGCTTAATAAGAACGCCAGAAATTTTAGGGATTGGGGTTGGCTTAAAGGTTTTATTTATTTATTTTTTTAACACATGGAAGCAATAAGTCTGCAATAAAGAGTCCAATTGGAGAGGATGGTAAGTTTCCATACCATTGTTCCATCCTTTCTGTGCGGTCTCTTTTCCTAGAAAAAGAACTCCGAAATTGTGTGTACTGACATATATTTTTAAGGTAATCATATTCTAATACTTTGAGAGGATTTTTATAGGGTTTACACAAATCATTGTGTAAACGGAAACTTTCATAATTTTCAAGTAAAGGAATTTTGCTTTTCTTACCATTTCATTTAGAAAGGATTCTACGGGAGGATTTTTTAAAAAATAAGCTTCTTATTCCTACCAAATTTACTAACACTGCTTGAAAATATCAATCTGAAGGAGTGGGAGAACTCCTACATGTCTTGAGTTTTTATCATTGTGGAAAATGTTTAATTAAAATTATGATGTTGTAAAGTAAGAATCATCAGAGAAAGCTATCAGAGTAGTAATTTAATGAGTAGTTTACTGCAATTTTAGAGTCTTATTTAAAAAAAATTTTTTTTTTTTTTAACCAACAATGCAAGGCATTTGCCAACAACAACAGATGTAACAAGCAGGGAAGTGTACTTCTATACCAAAATCTATTTACATGGAGCCAGAACTTTAAAAAACAGGTTAACACA